TAATAAATAAGTGATGAGACGTTCTAATAAGATCTATAGAGTTCCTTAACATACTGTGATTGACAGTAGTGTATTGCCCGATTTCCTTGTGGCGACTGTTGTCTCGATCAGGGCGTAGCAATAAAAACAGTGCTAACTAAATTTTTAACGTAAATGCGTCTTACGATTTTAGTTATAGAATGAGTTTTTCTATGTACTAACCAAAATTGACTTCCAACCATTTTTGGTCATTGCCACTGTCATTGGCAGCACACCACGCCCCCTTGTACGGACCAATCTCCTTCATACCAATACGTGCACGGCTTGCATCTTCAGGATTGGTTTCGGCATGCATATGATCGTCTAATACTCGGAAATATTCTTTATCGTTTGGCCCAGGAACCTTTACACCCAGTTCCACATTTGGGTTATAGTCTTTATCTTTTTGAAAAGAAAATCAAATAAGAATCAAAAATAAGAATTGATTTGATTTCTTTTATTACATTAATTCAAGTGTTATTCATACATAAGTAACATATAAACTTCCTTCCTTCCTTCCTTTCTTTCTTCAATTGTCAAATGTCAAAAATATTTTTGGTTTGCAAACACAATCCGGCATAATACTTACATTTACAAATGTGTTTCGTAGGGTTTAAAATTTCGATACAATTGATTTCGTACTTAGGGTTGAGAAAATGGACTATTTCCCGATTAGTACAATTTTTTGATTTGGAGCAGTCGCCATNTGAAACCTTCAACGTTGATTTGCCAGGTAATTTCTCACTACGTGGCCAAAAATCATTTGACCATCAAATCTAAGCTAGCAAGAAGACTTATTAACCGCTAATACCTAAGATTTATAGTTAATCTTATCTATGTGAGAAAAACATTCAGTAAGAAGGGGGACTAGCACGAAAATCATCCAGATTTTAATACAGCTGAAACTTTACTGGAATAACCCTTAAAGGTCTAATAATCACTGGTTAAAGTTTATTCCTGATATTCGGATGGGAAGTATTATATTTTAACGAATTTTTATAGGTGCCTGTGACGTCATACACTCAAAACACTAAACATCGCTCCATACATTTCTTTGTAAAAAACTTCATGTTTTACTTTATTTCTATTAAGCCCAAAGGTCCGCTTATGGACTTAACGTACATAACTTGTGGTTCGAATTATTTGATGGTATCTTTTCTTCAATACTGAGTATCAAACTAGAAGATATTTTGATTACAAAATACAAAGAAATGTATGGAGCAATGTTTAGTGTTGAGTGCATGACGTCACAGCAAGTGTTTTTTTGTTGTTGATAATAGCTTACCGGCAACACCAACAAAATAAGAAGATGAGCGTGAAGATGACCAAAAATATAAGCAAAGCAACGAAAATAGCTGCAAAATAAATATTAGAATAAATCAGTAAATTGTATTGAAATATGATTATCTTATTACATGTGGGAGATATATTGCAACAATATCACAGGTATTTTCTAATTTTCATCAAGACATTTTCAAATTTATCTAAGCTCACGTCAAAAGTCGAACTTCACATGAGCCGAACTTCATTGAAACAATGGACAACAAGGTGGTCTTCTTTTATGTCATTAGGTTCGGCTCATGTGAAGTTCGACGTTTGACCTTAGTCTTAGCAAACATAATCTCCCTCGCAAAACCCAACAAGCTAAACTGATTATAGAATGATAACATACACCGTTCTTATAACGTCTGACAAGTGCAAGAAAACGAGGTCCCCCACTCATTAGTCAATCACAATAAAAGATATCAAAGCACATAAAATGCGTTTATAGATATCAAACTACAGTAAAGTGACGGTGTATGATCATAAATTGAACAAATAAAAGAATAATAAAAGGTCGAAAGCATGAATGATGGAAATTATATATTAGTAACTTGAACACCGTGTAATAAGAAAAAGATAGGATGTGCTCAACTGACTTTCCGTCGGAGTAAAAAAAGTATGACTATTAGTCATTCCGAGGTTGATGAAAAGACAGGGGCGAGTTTGAGTTGCAGTCAAGTATTTTGGGACTATTGTAGGGGACGAAATAGACGAGCGCCACCTTGGAAGTATGACTAGCTTTTTAACTAGGTGATTGGGGTAAGGTAGGGCTTTTTAAAAACACTCGTTTAAAGACCTTTTAAGACCTTCTTCAAAATATTTTGATAATTAACCCGTCGTAAGTCTTGAGGAAAAGGCTGGGTCGAGTTGGCATTGCAGTCATTCATTTTTGGACTGTTTTAGCAGACTAAATAGACGCCATCTTGGAAATCTGATAAGTTTTTTTTTATGTGATTAACTATATGATTGAGTAAGAGGTAGCTTTAAACATCCGTTAAAAGACCTTTTAAGACCTTTTAGAAAATATTCTGGTTTAATTATTTATCTTACAACAAGTTAACAACAAATGAATGGATGGTTTCAAATCGAAAACCAATGAATTTTCCAAACGGGGGAGGGGTCGGACCTTGTTACGTCTCGAAGGCAAATACTAAAGTTCTAATACTTACCCCAAAGCATATACCCTTTATAAAACTCTTTATTCGAAATACTATCCAATTTTTGGTATTTACTGGTAGGGTCCGCTTCTGGCACAACGACAACTTTAATTGGTRGTGAATCTGCAAAATACGAAACAATTGGGAGCTCTGAATAATGGGTCAATAAAGTCAGATTAAAACAACCATTGGTTGACACGAATGAAAATGTCTGCGCATGCTCTCAATCCGTATGCAAAAAAAAAAAAAAAGAAAGAAAATAGTCAAAACATATGTAAATTTGACTTTCAAACACATGCCTGATAAATTGGACTTCACAAAATACCCAAATTTAGTGTCCATGCTTGCAACTTAAGGCTAATTCTCTTACATTGTGTTTGTTAATACAGTAGCTTGGTCTGACAAAAGTTTACTCCAGAATTTTTTTGCATACTCGGAGAAAACAAACATTTATTTTCTCACTCAAACTCTTCAAAATTCTTAGAAAAGGTGCTGAAATGCACTCATGCGCAAACGTTTATCTCTAGTGTCCCATTGGTGTTATAAGACTGCAACAACGTCACACGTATCCTCTTCAAGACGACAAGGAATTTTCCTTGAATCTCATAGCAGAAAGATTGAAAATAGACTTTTTAGTACGTGAGTTTTATTATTTAAAGGGCGCAATAACAGGACAAACAACCATCGTCGTTTCACGACACACATCATATTCTTTCGTAAATAATCATTTTCTTTTCTTTATGCAACATTTAGCGTGGATTCCGTGATTTTTCATCAGCCAATCAGCGCGCGAATTTATAATTAGTTATGTGATTGTTATAAGATTTTTTTATAGTTTAGATAGCCGGCTGTAAATATATAGTTCACTGGTGGATATTTTATAAAAGAATAAATGACTAGTAGATGATTTACCTGTACGCTTTCCGTAGATGGCAAGTTGCATGCATGTTCTATTCGCAAGACTATTGGAGAAGACTCGTACTCCTTTGGTTTGATTGATGAATAAATAATGAGAAGAACCATTTTGGGTGGAGTGAAACTAAAGAAATATGAATAATGTTTAGCTAACAGCTTACTTATACACCTTTTTCAAAGATGGGTGTCATCGCCAAAGGCGATAGTCAATAGGCGATAGGCGAAAAGCGATAAGAGATAGGTTATTCCAAGATCCAAGAATAGCTTGAATGACTTGTGTTTCTGCTTCTTATTCACGTCAAGAACATGGACCTTAGTGTCGAGACTGATTCAATGTCGTTTGTAGTCCAAGAAATCGTTTCCATCTCGGAATGACGCCTATCGCCATTGGTAATGAATTTTTGTTTTTGAAATACGTATATCAACTACAGCAATACCTTTTGTTGCATACACCTATTCAAAAAACGTGGTCGGTCAGAGATCTGAGATGAGCGATGTAAGACTAAAAAGAATTTTTGTGCTTTTATGTTTTCAACTGCAACTATTACTGCCGGACATTACTTACATTACATTGGTGGTGATAATGTACTAGAGATCCAGAATCGTTCAAGTATTTCAAGGAAAAGCTTTCTACCCATTTACTGGGATCCGTAGGGTGGCCTTTGATCTCAATCTTTTCGATATCGACAGGCATACCTACAAAGAAACAGTTGTATGAATGATTTGTTTCAGCAAACCAAGAGTTTAATTACGACTTACTGCAGATTTCGATATTCGTGGTCATCTTCAGGATTTACATTAAAAATTGTCGTTATTGTAATTTTGAAAACAATTTACAAAGTGACATCAGGTTTCTTCATGTATATGTCCTCTTATTGACGATAAATTCAGTGCGTCATCACATTGTCAAAGTAGTGTGGATCCACGATCAAGGCGTAGAAAGCCTGGGGCGAGTACAAATACCCAACGATATTCGTATTGTAGGTTATTTTGTACAGTAAAAAACCGGTTTTGAAAACTAGTTCAAAGAAAAGAATTCGTTTTGAAGCCTTCTCCCTTGGAAAAAGTGAGCTCAGTTGGATAATGAATAACTGATGAGACGTTCTAATAAGATCTATAGAGTTCCTTAACATACTTTGATTGACAGTAGTGTAATACCCGATTTCCTTGTGGCGACTGTTGTCTCGATCAGGGCGTAGCAATGAACACAGTCTGAAGGTGACTGCCTACTTTTGGAAATTGATTTAAACTTTTCTTAAAACTTCGATTTTCCGAATTGAAATTTAATGCTGATTCCAAATCTGGAAAGAAAAATAGGGTGTCCCGAGCTCGTTTTCGAGATAATCAGCATTTAATGGGAGCCTACGCACGAGCTTTTGGAGTAAAAATTGAGCCACCGGAAGTGATTAGAAAAAAATTAAGATT